GGGGAAAAATGGGGGAAATTGGAAAAAATGGGCAAATCTGGGGGGAAATTGGGGGGAAAATGGGGAAATCTGTTGGGAAATTGGAAAAAGTCTGGGGGGAAATGGAAAAAAATGGGGGGAAATGGGAAAAAATGGGGAAATCTGTTGGGAAATTGGAAAAGTCTGGGGGAAATGGGAAAAATGGGGGAAATGGGAAAAAATGGGGAAATCTGTTGGGAAATTGGAAAAGTCTGGGGGAAATGGAAAAAATGGGGAAATGGGGAAAAAATGGGGGAATGCGTTGGGAAATTGGAAAAGTCTGGGGGAAATGGGAAAATGGGAGGAAATGGGGAATAAATGGGGAAATCCGTTGGGAAATTGGAAAAGTCTGGGGAAATGGGAAAAATGGGGGAAATGGAGAAAAATGGGGAAATCCGTTGGGAAATGGGAAAAGTCTGGGGAAATGGGAAAAATGGGGAAATGGGAAAAAATGGGGAAATCCGTTGGGAAATGGGAAAAGTGTGAGGGGAAATGGGAAAAATGGGGGAAATGGGAAAAATGGGAAACTGGGAAATTGGGGAAAAATGGGGAAATCTGGGGGAAATTGGGGAAAATGGGAAATCCATTGGGAAATGGGGGAAATGGGAAAAATGGGAAATCCGTTGGAAATGGGAAAATGGGGGAAATGGGGAAAATGGGGAAATCCGTTGGGAAATTGGAAAAATGGGAAATCTGGGGGAAAATTGGGGGAAATGGGAAATCCGGGGGAAATTGGAAAAAATGGGGAACTCGGGGAAATGGGGGAAATGGGAAAACCGGGGAAATTGGAAAATGGGAAAATCCGGGGAAATTGGAAAAATGGGGAATCCGTTGGGAAATTGGGGAAAAATGGGGAAATCCGTTGGGAAATGGGAAAAATGGGGGAAATGGGAAAAAATGGGAAATCTGTTGGGAAATTGGAAAAGTCTGGGGGAAATGGGAAAAATGGGGGAAATGGGAAAAATGGGAAATCCATTGGGAAATTGGAAAAAGTCTTGGGGGAAATCGGAAAAATGGGGGAAATGGGGAAAAATGGGAAATCCGTTGGGAAATTGGAAAATGTCTGGGGGAAATGTGAAAAATGGGGGAAATGGGGAAAAAATGGGGAAATCCGCTGGGAAATTGGAAAAATGGGGGAAATGGGGAAAAATGGGGAAATCCGTTGGGAAATGGGAAAAGTCCGGGGAAATGGGAAAAATGGGGGAAATGGGGAAAAATGGGAAATCCATTGGGAAATGGAAAAATGGGGGAAATGGGAAAAATGGGGGAAATGGGAAAAATGGGGAAATCCGTTGGGAAATGGGAAAAATGGGGAAATGGGAAAAATGGGGGAAATGGGAAAAAATGGGAAATCCGTTGGGAAATGGGAAAAATGGGGAAATGGGAAAAATGGGGGAAATGGGGAAAAATGGGGGAAATGGGGAAAAATGGGGAAATCCGTTGGGAAATGGGAAAAATGGGGGAAATGGGGAAATGGGGAAAAATGGGAAATCCGTTGGGAAATTGGAAAAAATGGGGAAATCTGGGGGAAATTGGGGAAAAATGGGAAATCTGGGGGAAATTGGGGGAAATGGGAAATCTGGGGGAAATTGGGGAAAAATGGGGAAATTGGAAAAATGGGCAAATCTGGGGGAAATTGGGGAAATGGGAAACCGGGGAAATGGGAAAAATGGGGAAATGGGAAAAAATGGGAAATCTGTTGGGAAATTGGAAAAGTCTGGGGGAAATGGAAAAAAAATGGGGGGGAAATGGGGAAAAAATGGGGGGAATGCGTTGGGAAATTGGAAAAAGTCTGGGGGGAAATGGGAAAAAAAGGGAGGAAATGGGGAATAAATGGGGAAATCCGTTGGGAAATTGGAAAAAGTCTGGGGGAAATGGGAAAAATGGGGGAATGGGAAAAATGGGGAAATCCGTTGGGAAATGGGAAAAAATGGGGGGGAAATGGGGAAAATGGGGAAATGGGGAAAATGGGAAATCCGCTGGGAAATGGGAAAAATGAGGAAATGGGAAAAAATGGGGAAATCCGTTGGGAAATGGGGAAAATGGGGGAAATGGGGAAAAATGGGGGAAATGGGGAAAAATGGGGAAATCCGTTGGGAAATGGGAAAAGTCCGGGGAAATGGGAAAAATGGGGGAAATGGGGAAAAAATGGGAAATCCGTTGGGAAATGGGAAAAGTCTGGGGGAAATGGGAAAAAGTCTGGAGGGAAATAGGGAAAAATGGGGAAATCCGTTGGGAAATGGGAAAAAGTCTGGGGGGAAATGGGAAAAAATGGGGGGAAATGGGGAAAAAATGGGGAAATCCGTTGGGAAATGGGAAAAAGTCCGGGGGGAAATGGGGAAAAATGGGGGAAATGGGGAAAAATGGGGAAATGGGGAAAATGGGAAATCCGTTGGGAAATGGGAAAAGTCTGGGGGAAATGGGTAAAAAATGGGGAAATCCGTTGGGAAATGGGAAAAAATGGGGGGAAATGGGAAAAAAATGGGGAAATCCGTTGGGAAATGGGGAAAAGTGCGGGGGAAAGTGGGAAAAAAGGGGGAAATGGGGAAAAATGGGAAATCCGTTGGGAAATGGGAAAAATGGGGGAAATGGGGAAAAATGGGAAATCCGTTGGGAAATGGGAAAAGTCCGGGGAAATGTGAAAAATGGGGAAATGGGGAAAAATGGGGAAATGGGGAAAATGGGAAATCCGTTGGGAAATGGGAAAAGTCTGGGGGAAATGGGAAAAATGGGGGAAATGGGAAAAATGGGGAAATCCGTTGGGAAATGGGAAAAATGGGGAAATGGGGAAAAATGGGGAAATCTGTTGGGAAATTGGAAAGTCTGGGGGAAATGGGAAAAAATGGGGAAATTGGAAAAATGGGGAAATCCGTTGGGAAATGGGAAAAATGGGGGAAATGGGAAAAATGGGGGAAATGGGGAAAAATGGGGGAAATGGGGAAAAATGGGAAATCCGTTGGGAAATGGGAAAAATGGGGGAAATGGGAAAAATGGGGGAAATGGGAAAAAATGGGGAAATCCATTGGGAAATGGAAAAAATGGGGAAATGGGGAAAAAATGGGGGAAAATGGGGGGAAAATGGGGAAATCCGTTGGGAAATGGGAAAAAGTCTGGAGGGAAAGGGGAAAAAATGGGGGGAAATGGGGAAAAAATGGGGAAATCCGTTGGGAAATGGGAAAAATGGGGGAAATGGGAAAAAGTCTGGAGGAAATAGGGAAAAAATGGGGAAATCCGTTGGGAAATGGGAAAAATGGGGGAAATGGGAAAAGTCTGGAGGGAAATAGGGAAAAATGGGGAAATCCGTTGGGAAATGGGAAAAATGGGGGAAATGGGAAAAATGGGGGAAATGGGAAAAATGGGGAAATCCGTTGGGAAATGGGAAAAATGGGGAAAGGGGGAAAAATGGGGGGAACTGGGGAAAAATGGGGAAATCCGTTGGGAAATGGGAAAAAGTCTGGAGGGAAATGGGAAAAAATGGGGGGAAATGGGGGAAAAATGGGGAAATCCGTTGGGAAATGGGAAAAAATGGGGGGAAATGGGAAAAAATGGGGGGAAATGGGGAAAAATTGGGGAAATCCATTGGGAAATGGGAAAAAGTCCCGGGGGGAAATGGGAAAAATGGGGGAAATGGGGAAAAATGGGGAAATGGGGAAAAATGGGGAAATCTGTTGGGAAATGGGAAAAATGGGGAAATGGGAAAAATGGGGAAATGGGGAAAAATGGGAAATCCATTGGGAAATGGGAAAAAGTCTGGGGGGAAATGGGAAAAAGTCTGGAGGGAAATAGGGAAAAAATGGGGAAATCCGTTGGGAAATGGGAAAAAATGGGGGGAAATGGGAAAAATGGGGAAATGGGGAAAAATGGGGAAATGGGGAAAAATGGGAAATCCGTTGGGAAATGGGAAAAATGGGGAAATGGGAAAAATGGGGAAATGGGGAAAAAATGGGGAAATCCATTGGGAAATGGGAAAAATGGGGGAAATGGGGAAAAATGGGGAAATCCGTTGGGAAATGGGAAAAGTCTGGGGGAAATGGGAAAAATGGGGGAAATGGGGAAAAATGGGGAAATCCGTTGGGAAATGGGAAAAGTCTGAGGGAAATGGGAAAATGGGGGAAATGGGGAAAAATGGGAAATCCGTTGGGAAATGGGAAAAAGTCTGGGGGAAATGGGAAAAAATGGGGGGAAATTGGAAAAAAATTGAAAATCCCGGGCGAAATTGGGAAATCCGGGGAAAAATGGGGAAATCCAGGGGGAAATTGGAAAAAAAATGGGAAATTCGGGGGTTGGATAAACTGGGGAAATCTGCGAAAATAATGGCATATCCGGGAAAACCTGGGCCGAAATTGGGGAAACTGGAAAAATTCAGGTGGGAAATGGGAAAAATGGGAAATTCGGGGGTTGAAAAACCGGAAAATCTGGGAAAATAATGGAATATCCGGGAAAATCTGGGGGAAATTGGGGAAACTGGAAAAATTCAGGGGAAATTGGAAAATCCGGGTGGAAATTGGAAAATCCGGTGGAAATTGGAAAAAATTGAAAATCCGGGGAAATGGGGAAATCCAGGGGAAATTGGAAAAATGGGAAATTCGGGGGTTGGAAAACCGGGAAATCTGGGGAAATAATGGAATATCCGGGAAAATCTGGGGGGAAATTGGGAAAACTGGAAAAAAATCCGGGGGGAAATGGGAAAATCCAGGGGGAAATTGTAAAAAAATTGAAAATCCGGGGGGAAATTGGGAAAATGGGAAATCCGGGGGTTGGAAAACCGGGAAATCTGGGAAAATAATGGAATATCCGGGAAAATCTGGGGGAAATTGGCAAATCTGGGGGGAAATGGGAAAATCCTGGAGGGAATTGGATAATCTGGCGGAAATTGAAGAAATGGGGAAATCCGGGGGGAAATTGGGAAAAATGGGAAATTTGGGGGAAAATCTGGGAAAAATAGGAAAAATCCGGGGGAATTTGGGATTATTTTTTTAATGGACGCTCCTTTCCAGGTTCAATTTTGTGGCCAAAAACTGCACAAGAGGCTCCGCCAGTTGGGCGGCTGCCCGCTGCTTCCGCCCGCTTTGGGGGACGACCAGCACGATTTGGGGTGAGTCTGGATGACCGCCGGGTGCCCCTTTTGACCCTGAATATACTTTTGAGATTTGAGAGGGGAAATGGGGGGTCAGGCTGGAGGAATTATTATTATTATTATTATTATTAATTATTATTATTACTATTATTATTATTATTATTACTATTATTATTATTTTATATTATTGTTATTATTATTTTATTATAGTATGTTTAATTATTGTTATTATTATTATTTTATATTATGTAATATTATTGCTATTATTACTATTATTATTTATTAAATTTTATTATGTTATTTTATTATTATTGCTATTATTTTATATTATTATTGTTATTATTTTATTATATTATGTTTAATTATTGTTATTATTATTGTTTTATATTATGTAATATTATTGCTGTTATTATTATTATTATTTATTAAATTTTATTATGTTATTTTATTATTATTGCTATTATTATTATTTTATATTATTATTATTATTTTATTATATTATGTTTTATTATTGTTATTATTATTGTTTTATATTATGTAATATTATTGCTGTTATTGTTACTATTATTATTATTAAATTTTATTATGTTATTTTATTATTATTGCTATTATTATTATTTTATATTATTATTGTTATTATTTTATTATATTATGTTTTATTATTGTTATTATTATTGTTTTATATTATGTAATATTATTGCTGTTATTATTATTATTATTTATTAAATTTTATTATGTTATTTTATTATTATTGCTATTATTATTATTTTATATTATTATTGTTATTATTGTTATTATATTATGTTTTATTATTGTTATTATTATTATTTTATATTATGTAATATTATTGCTGTTATTATTATTATTATTTATTAAATTTTATTATGTTATTTTATTATTATTGCTATTATTATTATTTTATATTATTGTTATTATTATTTTATTATAGTATGTTTAATTATTGTTATTATTATTGTTTTATATTATGTAATATTATTGCTGTTATTATTATTATTATTTATTAAATTTTATTATGTTATTTTATTATTATTACTATTATTATTATTTTATATTATTATTGTTATTATTTTATTATATTATGTTTTATTATTGTTATTATTATTGTTTTATATTATGTAATATTATTGCTGTTATTGTTACTATTATTATTTATTAAATTTTATTATGTTATTTTATTATTATTGCTATTATTATTTTATATTATTGTTATTATTATTTTATTATATTATGTTTTATCATTATTATTATTTTATATTATGTAATATTATTGCTGTTATTATTATTGTTATTATTATTATTAAATCTTATTATGTTATTTTATTATTATTACTATTATTATTTTATATTATTGTTATTATTATTTTATTATATTATGTTTTATCATTATTATTATTTTATATTATGTAATATTATTGCTGTTATTATTATTATTATTATTTATTAAATTTTATTATGTTATTTTATTATTATTGCTATTATTATTATTTTATATTATTGTTATTATTATTATTATTTTATTATATTATGTTTTATTATTATTATTTTATTAAATTATGTTTTATTATTATTATTGTTATTATTATTGTTATTTTATTATATTTTATTATTATTATTATTATTATTATTATTTTATATTATGTTATATTATTGCTGTTATTGTGGTTATTACTACTATTATTATTATTATTATTATATTAAATTTTATTATGTTATATTATTATTGTTGTTATTATTATTATTATGTTATATTATTGTTGTTATTATTATTATTATTTTATTTTATTATATTTTATTATTATTATTATTGTTGTTGTTGTTATTTTATTATATTATGTTTTATTATTGTTATTATTTTTATTATTATTATTATTATTATTATTTTGGGCCAGGCTACCTGACTGCTGGCTCCCTTTTTACCCTGAAGATGCCAAAATTTATTATTAATAAATAAATAAATGAAATTTATAAATGAAATAAATGAAATAAATGAGAATTTTTTTATTATTATTATTATTATTAGATGACCGCTGGCTCCCTTTTTGCCCTGAATATGCTGAAATTTATTATTATTATTATTATTATTATTATTATTATTATTAATGACCGCTGGATCCCTTTCTGTCCTCCTGCAGGCCAGACGCCGCGGTGGATCCCTGGCTAGCGGATCTCTGGGAGAAGATCCTGGATTTGTATCCTCTTCCTCCCGGCCTGGAAATCCTGAGTCCGGATGTCGTGTAAGCAATATTATTCTAATTAATTAATTAATTTATTATTATTATTATTATTATTATTATTATTATTAAAGGATTAAATAATTAAAATAAATTAAATTATTCTTCAATTATTCTGAACGTAAATAATTCAATTATTCTTCAATATTCTGA